GTTTTTGAAAGTTTTTTTTCCCTTTGTTGTTTTTCGTATTCTTTTCATTGCATTGGATGATACCCACTACTGGGAGATGTGATAAAGGAATTTGTGAGCCAGGGGTTGCACAGAGACCGCAGGAAGGTGTGACTGCCAGGGAGCGATTTTGTTTATAGTGTTCTTGAGGACTCTTCTTGCTTTTTTTCTTCTTTGGAGTGCTACTGTTTCATCATTGAAAAGCAACTATCATGACACTTTTATCGCGCGAGCTGTCTTTGAAGGCACGCTCCGCGTTCATTTTTCGGACACCTTTTGTGGACAAGCTGGTGCTGCCTGCAAACATGGAGAATGTATTGCGTACGCAGCTCAAAAACACGTGAGGAAAGTACTACGCGCCAAACCATAACTCCGCCCACTGGCCAGGGCGACGCCCAACTTTCTTCGTTAAAAAATTCCTGGTGGTACGGTTGTTCCGCTACTAGCTTTCTCTCCATTTCGAGTGATGAGAGCGAGGTGATAAGGGGAAAGAGCTGACACCAACAAGTGAGAACTCGTCCAGCTACGCCCTTCTTCGCCTTGTGCACGTAAAAGCGCGGTTCAGCTGTACCGGCTAATACCGGCTAGTTTCCTGTAATGCTGGTAGGCCTACAGGTCAAGGAATCGCAAAATAACACCTCGAAAACGTTCTAGATAAGTTTCGTCAAATTTCGGGCATTGCGAGGCGGATATCACCTCCTTTCCCGGCGCCTTTGCCTTATGCTACTTTGACCATATAGGTCCTTACCATTTTCGTGCTCATATCTAGTTCGCTGAGAACGAAGAATCATGTCAGGCGAGGTGAGTTTGGCGCCGTGCCGAACCAGTTAACCACCAGTTTTTGGAGGCAGCATCGAGTGCAGACGCTGTGTCGTACTCTTACTGCCTGACACGTCCGTTCATCCGCAACCTACTATAGTATATCCATGTCGTTCACTCAAGGAATTATGCATTCAAGCAGCAAAATTGTCTCTTACTTTCCGTATAGTCGATAAGTCGGCCATGAAGAGATGGCGAGAGCAAGCATCAAAGTGAAACATCTCCAAGTTGAGTGAACGCACGAGGTAGCCCAAGTTGTGAGTTGCACGTATGATCTGTAAATTTGATACGATTAGAACGATGTGATTCTACCAAGTTACCTTGTTTTCGGTAACATATCTCTCCATGTCGTCTGTTTTTATGATGCTTCGAGGAAGATGACTCGCCTAAACTCGAAAATTTTACCTGTAGTACATCGAGAGCTAAACGGCCACCGGAGCCGTGAGTGAACTTCTTTCCGGAATACTCCAAGCACTGGTTGAGTACTGGTCCACTTCGGAAGTATAAAGCGAGATAGTAGAAATCTTCATCGTGATAGATGGAATGCACTTGCGAGAAAAAGCGCCATAAATTTTCCTGCTCGATCTGCAAAATCGTCTAGGTCGTCCGTTATGCTTTGTCAAAAGAAAAAATTGTGAATCACGTATAACTGACTGTCCGTTTTCGTTCAACAAGGCTGACCTTACACAGAAATGATGCTT